AATTTAGATCATTATTCAGAGGGAGCACAGAAAATATGTAACAGATTCATGATGGTATAAGTCACTAAATCCAATGACTTTGCAGGACCGACTGATAATCTTGACTACCAACACTCTTTTTCTTCCCTTTGCTTCCTTTGACTTCTATGACACACACTGCCCTGATTTTTCACCTCACTTTGGTTGCTACTTCTCCAATTCCTTTGCAAGATTATCCTCCTCTGAAAGCCATTATATGTTTGAGTTCCTCAGGGCCCATTCCTTCTCTACACTGTCTCCCAAGATATTCACATTTATACCCATGGCTCCAATTACCACCTCTACTCAGGTGACTCAAATTTAACTCTCCCCCAGGCATTTCTTACCTATCAGTATAAGTCAGAATCCCTGAAAGAGACAGGTGGCACACTCAAATGTACCATAATTAAGGAGACTGTAGTCAAGAGATCATTTGCAAAGGGTTTGGGGAAAACAACAGAGGACAGTAGTCCAGCATCTCAGGGAGCTTTTACTGCCTAAGCTTAAAGGAGGAGGTTAGGGACTTCCCTGGTGGCTCAGTGCTTAAGAATCTACCTGCCAGTGCAGGGGTTCAAGCCCTGGTCCTGAAAGACCCCACGTGCCACAGAGCAACTGAGCCCGTGCGCCGCAACTACTGAGCCTGTGCTCTAGAGCCCGCAAACCACAACTACTGAAGCCCATGTGCTGCAACTACTGAAGCCCGCGCACCTAGAGCCCGTGCTCCGCAACAAGAGAAGCCACCGAAATGAGAAGCCCGCTCACTGCAACGAAGAGTAGCCCCCACTTGCCGCGACTAGAGAAAGCCCGGGTGCAGCAAAGATCCAATGCAGCCAAAAATTAATTAATTAATTAAAAAGGAAAAGGAGGAGGTGGAAATGATTACTGGATTAGAGAGAGAAAAAAAGAGGGAGAGGTGGGAGGAAGAAGAGCAGGAGGCAGAGGAGGAGGATTTGAAGGAGGCAGGGTGGAAAGAGGAGGAGGTGGGGAAGAGGAAGAGATGATGCAGGATGTATATGGTAGAGAGTAAATACTCAGCCTTCATGCTTCTTCCTTCATGTACCTCCTATGGGCTGAACGCAACTAGAAGGCAGCGCACACGGGAGCAGGTGCTGGGGATACATGGAATCTTGACATCCCACACAGGTCAATGTCTCTGGACAGGGATCAGCGTAGAGATGGGTGGAGAGTGGCTCTAGATGGGGAGGCAGAAGGTATCTACCTAACAGACACCTCCTACCAGGCTTCTTCTCTAGGACATCCCAGGGATATTTAAAACTCAGCAGGTCCAAGATTAAACTCATGAACTGCCCACTCCACCACAAAACTAATGAAAAACAAACTGGTCCTCTTTCAGTGTTTTCTGTGTCATCAAATGGTATCAAGGTCAGGTCTGTCTTCCCATAACCGTGCAGGAATGGATTGGAGTGGGGCAAGAGTAGGTGCAAATAGATCATTGAGGACGCTATTCCACTAGTCCAGACAGAAATGATGATAGAATGGGCTGAGGAAGTGTTGGTAATGACGAACAGAAGTGGATGGATTGAAGTGGATAGATTGAAGAGATGTTTAGAAAGCAAAATTATTAGGACTTGTTATTAGATTGGATGTTTGGAGGTAAAACTAATGTGGTTGTCAAAGACGACACCTTCAGTGATTTCCCATAGATCTTAGGAAGGGGACACAACTCCTTAACATGGACTTATTGGTCCTGCGTGGTCAGCATCCCCCACTTCCCACCCTTCAACCTTCCACCTTCACTTATACCAGGCCCCTCTGAGGATGTGGACTATGTTCTACATTCTTTCAGTCCTTCCTGTTTCCTGTGCTTGCCCCTGGGCAGGACCTTTGCACCTGCTATTTCCACTGCCTGTAATGCTCTTAGCCAACTACCTAATTCCTCTTTATCATTCTTAGCTCAGTCACCACTTCCCCAGGAAAGCTTCCCCTGACTTCCCTAACTAGACCTAACCCTCCTATGAAAGCTCTCCTATACTGTGTCCTTCCCTCTGTAGCCTCTATGCTTTAGTAGCTTACACACACTTGTGTGGCTTTTCAGTTAATGTCTAACATATTCTCAATCCCCCACCAGGATATGAACTCCACGAGGACAGGGACTGTATCTCTCTTGTCTCACAATAGTCTTATTGCCTCTCATAGTGCCTGGCACCTTGTAGTACACACACACACACACACACACACACACAGACACACACACTTTAATGAATGAATGAATAAAAGTAAAAGCAATGGAATATATCATGAAGAAAAACACTGATGGATTTAGTAGACTTAAATTATAATCTCCATATTAAATAAGAGTAAAGAGTAAATGATAAGTGATAAACTTAGGGATATATTCATAATATAAAGACAAGAAGACTATATCTCAGTAGAGTTCTTGCCACATCAACAATACAAATACTAATAACTCCCAACAGGAATTGACAAAAACAAAACAAACAAAAAATCCCCATAGAACACAAAGAGTTATGACAACTTTTCACTGTAAAAATTGAAACTACAAATAAAACTGGCCTAAACAATAAGGAAACCCATTGTATCACATAAGCAGAAGGACAGGATGGCTTCCCTCAGGATCGTGAGATGGTACCCAACGATCACCGGGGACAGCATGCTGTCTTGTTCACATTCATCAGAGGAGAAATGCAGTCTCTGCTAGCAATACGATACAAATCCTGGGCTTCCCTAGTGGTGCAGTGGTTAAGAATCTGCCTGCCATTGCAGGGGACACGGGTTCGAGCCCTGGTCTGGGAAGATCCCACATGCCGCGGAGCAACTAAGCCTGTGCACCACAACTACTGAGCCTGTGCTCTGGAGCCTGAGAGCCACAACTACTGAAGCCCATGCGCCTAGAGCTCTGTGCTCCACAACAAGAGAAGCCACCGCAATGAGAAGCCCGTGCACCACAACGAAGAGTAGCCCCCGCTCACCACAGCTAGAGAAAGCCCGTGCGCAGCAACGAAGACCCAACGCAGCCAAAAATAAAATAAATAAAAATAAATAAATTTATCAAAAAAACAAATACAAGTTCTTCTCTTTAGCTTCCCTGAGTCACTTTAGGACCAAGCTGGGTCAATTCTGCTGTCAGAGGATGCCATGTTCTGATTTTGAACCATTCACTAGCAAGAGAGATTGGATTACCATGTTTGGTTTGTGTTAATCTAGACCCATTCCTGGCACTAGGGTCAATTCCAGAAACCACACTATTGTTGAGGAATCAAATACAAGGTCCACTAATATTGGCCACAATCATGGGGGGAAATGGTCAGCCTTAGGAGTGAGGCAGATGCAAGAAAACAAACACGGCAGTGAGGTATCATTGTCCAACTTGCAATTTTAAAGTTTGTTTGCATTAAAAAATTATTCATTGAAAATGGATTATAAATTGATTTAATCTTTCTGGAGAGCAATTTAGCAAAATACGAAAAAAACCTTGGAAACATTTATGACAAATTTTGGAAAGTATACGTGTGTGTAGAAATGAGAAAGCACAAAAATGTTCTTGTGGTTGTTACTGGCTGGCAATTTTATGGGTGACTTTTATTTTCTTTTAAATGTTTTCCAAATATTCTTTAGCCTAATTTTGTTTATTTAAACACAAAGGACACGAAGGAACCTCTTATTTCAGAACGTGGACCACTTTCAGTCGGGAATATCCTCTGGAGACTTAAGCAGCAGGCAAAGTAGTTGCAGGGTTTCATTGCTCCCTTAAGGTAATGAAGAGAAAATAGCAAACGATGTGAATCAGAGATTCTGAGTTATGGAATTCTCTGCTTCTAAAGTTCTAGTTTGGCCCAATTGGTCTGTAATCCAGGGGAAAAAAAGAAACAAGGCATAAAACACTGCAGAAAGATATGTAGTAACAACAGAACATTTAGCATAAAGCTTGTTCTTCTAAAATTCAACCTCTAATTCAACTCCATAGGCTCTTGGCTATAGGCCTTAGTGAGTAAACAGTTGAAGCTACATGACGAGATGTAGCTTGATCTACTTTCACTTTTGTTGAGGAGAAAAGGTTGGACTGTTTTAAAAACTTGAGCATAGGAAAATATCTGAACTCACTTTTAAGTTCAGAGAAAAGAACCTCCGGGATAAAGGAACGTGTGTTAGTGAACTGGGATTTCTAACAGATCTTTAACCGTGAGGATCAGTGACGATGTTCTTTCTCCAGATTTAATTTGATAATTTCCCCCATTCTTCTCAGACCACTCTTGGTTCTCTTTCGGCCTTTATAGTCACCCTTCTGAGTAACCTCGGGCAAGTCATTTAACCTCTGCTGTAGCCTTTCTGAAAGAGCCTTCCATCGTGGATTTCCCTCTGTCTAAACATCTCTAAAGCTTCCTTGGAGTGAAAGATCAGGAAAATCTATGAATTTAGGATAGCCTTTAGGCTAATGAGGGAGTACTGCATTTTTACACAGTCCTCCTACTAAGGGCTTAAAAACAGATCTTTCACCTAGATAAGAAGGGAATATGCCAGCATCAGATTCTACCCCATCAGTCTCCCAGCAGTTACAGCAAGCCAACAGCTCAGCCTGTGCCTAAATTGGCCATGAATAGACAAGTTAGGACAGCAGAGAGGCAGGAAATGGGGCTAGGTTGATTTCCATCTATTAGCAGCAGCTTAAACCGGTATGCTGGGCAGCTGTGTCTCCCATTGGCTACAGCTGCTGAGAGCAGCAGGATGAGGGTTGACCTATATCTGTCGGGTGTAAGTCAAACCCTGAATTTGTTTGTAGCAAACTTCAGTGTTCCAGAACGCCAAGTTTAACTTACGCCCAACCACATACAATATTTTTATCAGGAACCGTGATATTCTCCACCTGCGAGGAACTTACATCTGTGGGTTTCCCCCCTCCTAGATTTTTTTTGCTTTCTTTCTCACTGCCTCTCCCTCCTGTCACCCTGTGACCATTTTTGTCCCCCTGCATCTGTGTTATCTTCTGGCTGGGAGGGGTTGTGATGGTCACAGCTGTGCTCCTTCTAGCAATCACGGTCACACCGGCCCTTCTCTGCCTGCCCCAGTTTCCATCTGACCAAGTTGTGGCCATCCCTTGCACTTGCAGTTGTTACCCAGGTTGGCACTGCCTCATGATCGCGTGTGCCCTTCTGGGCCAGCGCGAGTTTCAGAATGTGTCAGTTGCTAATACAACTGCAGCTGTAGACAGACAGAAATATGTTCAAAACGTGAGTTCTAAACTTCCTACACAGTAACTGTTTCTTAATAGTTTTTGAAGAGCAAATAATCTTTTTTTTTTTTAAGATAGCGTTTAAGTATTTGGACGTTTATTTTCCTAGATTAGATAATAAACTACTTGAACTTTCATGTAGGCAGCTAACCATCCAAATGTCGCAAAGCTCCCTTCCTTTGTCTTGGGTCTCAGTCAGTACATGGATGTTGTTTTGTTTGCCTCAATCAGTATGTGTATGTATTTATTTACACTGACATCACAATGTGAAACTTAACCTACTCAGTTCTGCCGTCACACTAAAGCATCAGCACACTTAGGCTTCTATTTATAATGCAGAAACTGCTCTCCATGACCTATTATCATTTCTTCACTGGGGCCCTGTAGTAACAGAAAAGAAGCCCAGATGATGGAAAATTATTCTAGCAACTCAGGTCCCCATGCACACAAGCCACATTGCAGTAATTTGAGATGGAAAAGACCTATTAAGTCATCCCACTGATTCTCTGAGGGCATGTGGTGGTTTTTTCCCTCTCCAATACGCTGATCTACGTTTTAGTGCCTTTTCCAATGGCAAATGGCACAAGTGACAGGGCCTCCATCCCTCCTGAGGGACAGGGCAGCACAGTCTATAATAGATCTCTCCATTAGGGCATGAGACTTGTTCAGCCGCCTAAATTATCTTTGTTTTGACTTTCATTTCCATCACTACTCCTGCCGTCCCCTTGGACCACACTAAATAATTTCTCCCCGTCCCCGCTATTTACACCCTTCAAGTCCTTGTGCCTGATGAGCCAGTCCCTGTTAGTTAGAGCCAGTGGTCATGCTGGGAGACTTGTCTCTTTCATCTTCCCTCTGAAGGCAGTCCCTTCAGGCTGATAAATCAGATTTGTTGCTCTTCGATGAACGCCCATCAGTTTCTCAATAATTTGCCTCATTTCTTTGTCACTCAGGCTGTTCAGGAAAATCCCCTTTGTTTGTCTCCGTTGTTGCAAAATAAGATGATGGTGGTAGAATCTCTGCTTACGGCAAACAGAGCACATCTCTTCAGCCACCAGGCATCTTCCTTTCCCCAGGACACTGGCGTCATCTAGTCCGTCTTACTTGGGGTGTGGAGCTACTGTGTTAACAGGACTTAGGTGTGTTTGGAGAAACAGGAAGAGTTGATCTGTATTTCACCTGACCAGCTTTCCTTGTTGTTTATTTAGTTAATGCCCATTAGCTGTTTAAATCATAATTTGCTGCCCATCTCAATTCCCCGTTGGAAAAGCTTCCTTGAACTTCCTCAAGAGAATGCTAACCTCCTTTCCATTAATACTCCCACATTTCCTGATATTAAAGTGGACATCACTCACCATATCAGACATCTTTGCCAAAAGGAGAATTCTGTTGCTATGAGAGGGGCAGGATGGCCCCTTTACCTTGAATGAGCTGAATGTCACCGCAAACCAGGAAATTTGGGGAGTGGCTTTTGCAGTGCCAGCATCAATAGTGTTCAACCTGTCCCTTCTCTAACTCCCCTGAGTGTTAAAGCACCTCATTTAACAAGGTCTTTCCTAATGTGCTCAATGCTCATATTTATGCAATAATAATAACCAACATAGTGCTTTACGAACTGTTTTCATCTATCATCCTACTTAACAGTCACAGCCACCCTGTGAGAAAGAGCTATCTTCTTTATTTTACCAGGAGGAAACTGAGGCTTAGGGATGTTCCATTGCCCAATTTCACAAATATTCAGTTAATTATCCTTTCCATTCCCTTTTTGTTCTCCTTCTGAAATCATTGGAAAAAATGCTCCATGAACAATATGTGAAGAGGCACTAACTGTATACAGGTTCCTAAAGTCACTGGGATGCTGCCATTGCATAATATTTTTCTGTACTCTTAGTTGGCAAAAATAGAGTGAATAGACATCATCCACAGTTCAGTAATGTGTCCTATGGTTTATCAGTAGGATAACTCAGTTGTTATTCGATGACAGAAAGAGTATATTAAAATTTATAAGACATAGCCTGCTATATCTTTCTAAACAATAATGTAATGTTATTAGGCATGAGCTAAAAGTGAGCTTATCTCCTCAAATACCAGTTCAGACCCTGAGGGTATCTCTTTTTCCCGCAAAGCTGATAAAATTATATACACCTAAGATAAAAGAAGAAAGAACTATATATGTCAATACATGTTAATAACATGATTTGAAGAAACAAAGGACCTGAATAATACTGACTTTTTTGAGTAATTTAAAAAGCAGAAATATAATTTTCTACCAAATACATGGTCAAGGAAGCACAATATCCTAATATTGTGCTAACAGCTAAGCAAAAGATGATGTTTATTGCATCATTTATTTTCAAGTACTGCTTAGCAATATTTTAAATTTGGCACAAATGTGATTACAGTAGGAGAAAGACCTGTACTGAAGGGTTTTTATGCTTTAAGGGATTGAGGCAACATCCAAATAAAAGTCTCATCAGAGCCAGCACTTTGAACAAAATCCAGATCAAGAAATGTATGCTGTTAAGTGAACTGCTCCTTGCTGTGTCCTGGCCAGAGAAAGCAAATTGCATGTGTACACATAAACTATCAACGCACAGAAACACACAGAAGTCTCCGTCTCTATCAAGATGGAAGGCAGAATTCTTTTTTCTCCATCTCTATTAAGACAGAAGGCAGAATTATTCCTTCTGCATCAGCCTGAGAGCCCTCACTGTCTCATGTGTAACTAACTCGAAAGTGTACTTTGTGGCTGGACTGGATGGTGCCTGTAACTTTCTTGCAACAAATTATTAAGCAAACGCAACCTTGAAGATGCACCCTTGAAGATTCCAGCTGTATTTCATCGTACCCAGGGTTTAATTGTAAAAAAGAAAATTCTTATTGCTTATTTTTAATTACGGCAAATTCAAACACATGTTTACTATGGTGAAGTTTAAAAATACAATGAGAAAAAAGAAACCGATAGTTTTTATTTAGAAGTAACCAATTTTGACACACCCTCCTACTGCCTTATCTACATAACTATATATATGTATATATTCATCTTTGTTTTAAACAATAAGTTGTTGGTTTTAATAGTCAATAATACTGACTTCTTTGTTCCTTTAACCTAAGATCTCTGAAGCCCTTATGCAAGAACTGATGCTGTTTTGAGCTGATCTAAAAAGGGTGAAAAAATGCTGTAATTAAAAGTTTTTAAAAACACATTTACTCTATATGACTCATGCGATTTGAATCTTTTAAAAGTAAAAGACACCTTCTACAGCCAAACCTTGGAAAAATACCTAGAAAATACATTACACCTACTACCTACATTACACCTACCTACCTACTATTCCGCTATTAGTCTATATGAACCTTTTCCGTGGATTCCAGTGTACCAGTGATTGACAACACAATGCAAAGGGACTGACATTGACTAGACCCAGCTTTGGGAGCTTAGGGAAAGGGGCAGGAGTTTGATGCTAGACCTAAATCACTGATGTCGACATTAGGCTCATTTTCTTTGCCCACTTACCTCCCCCTGACCATGCATGTCATCTCTGCTCCCAAGAACAGATTTTCTCAGGACCCTTTTTTTTTTTTTTTAAGAAATTTTCCAGCTTACTCTTAAGATAACTCTCAAATACTAAAACATCTATGAAGTCCCTAGATGGGAGTTTTGATTTTTAAACTGTACTGAATATTGTATTTCATCAAATCTAAGACACTATCTATTGTTAAGTTGTATCATTATTTTAAAGTGATACTAAGAAAAAAGATGCTGCCAATTAAACTATCATATACCATTAATTTCAAATTTGATCCAATTTCAGAGATGTTAAAATGTGAAAAAGTATCTTACAAACGAACTTTGGCATTTATTTAAACCTACACATTGCATAAAGAATATTGTCACATACCATGAACAGATTTTTAGCACCTACTACATATTAGGTTATATACAGAGAAGTTAAAATTAGAATAGATATCTTTGACATTTAACTTGTTTATTTTTTTGGATTGAAATCAAAGCAAAATGTTCATATTTTAACGTTTATGTTTCTATAGAGAATACTCATTTTCTAGACCGAACTTTATGGTCTCAGAGTGGAAGCAGAGGCCATCCATGTGGTCTTGAGTCTCTTTATCTCTTTGTAATGTATCCTCAGAGACAACAGAATTTTAAGTTAGACCCCTTTTTACTTCAAGAAGCATGTCTGGGTTCTTTCATCTTCAAGATTTCAGTTAGTCACTTAGTTTTTTAAAATTCGTCAGGCTTGGAAAATGCAGATTTATTCCCATCTGTGTTTATCATATCTTCTGCTTGGCCAGTTTAATCACCAGATTTTATAGTTAAAGACAGTGAAACTTAGGCCACTTAACTGATTTGTCCCTCAGCATTCAGGTGGGTTCTTTCTTGTCTAAGGAAGTCTGTCCAACACAAAGCACAGTCTCGTTCAAGGCTCTTTTAATCTTACAGATCCAATTATGTTCTTTCAGTTGCCTAAGATATCTATTCTCTGCTACTCCTTCTAAAACCAAAATCCATATTTCCATCTTCTTTTAAATTGTTCTGCCCCATATTGGCAGCTGCTTTCTAGTATCCAAATCTAGAACAATGTAGTTTCCCCTTGCAGAGAGAAAGAAGCAGTCCCTATTTATGCACAAAAGTAATTTGCTACCTGGAATATAAATGTAGAGCCACTAGCCAGTCAAACATGAATTCGTTCTGAGTGGGAGACAGTGAGGGACTGTCTTACAAGTTTGTATCAGTGCCCAGCCTTTCCTCTTTGAGTTTTACCTTGCCTGCTCCTTTTCTTGCTTTAAAACGATTATCTTTCAAGCACAAGAGAGAAACAGAAATATTAAAAATATTTAAAACCTGAAATTTTGATGAAGTTTAAAAAAAAAGCATATTCAAGGAAATATCGAAACCTGTGATCTTCGGTGGAATTAGTCTACCTAGCTGTGTACTGAAAGGTAATGGTCTTTTGAGTCCCCTCTCTCACTATCCTGCCCCCTGGGGCCACAGATAAACC